GCTATTTCTTCTATTTTCGTCAGAATCAAACCATAAACTTTTGAGAAAATTTTATTTCGTTTCGAATATTTTCTCTTATTTATGGCAGTTTCCACGACAACTTGGATTAGTAAGTCTTTAGTTTCAATATATAAAATGAAATTTTTTTTGTTTTGTTTTGAATAATTGAGTACTTTAAGATTTCCCCCTGTTGAGAAAATTTAGACTGAATAACATGGAATCTCAAAAACAATTTTAATTTTGATAATGTATAAGGCCATTCAAAGTTTTTTCTCTGCTTAGCGTCCACTCATCTTTCAAAAACCTACCTACCTATATATTCATTAAAAAAAAAAAACACAAGCCAAAAAATTAAAATACAGACTTTATAGTCAGAAAAACGATGTTATTTAAAGGATTTCATTTCATTAATCTCCTTTTCTCATAGAGATCTATTCCTTAGAAAATCAGGAATTAAATGATTAATATCTAATATGACAGATTGTAGAAAAATATAGAAAGAAATGGTCAGAATTGAAGGATTTTGACCAAAAACAAAATAAATAAGTAAATTTCAGAACTCCTAATATTTTTTTCTGATCTTGGGTGTCAAAATCCAAGGCGCACGCGGATGTTAAACATAGAATAAACTTGGAATGTCCTAAACTATATTTCATGAAAAAGCTGAAAATGTATCATTATTCGCATATCAATTAAGGGCTGTAAGATTTTTGCAAGTCAACACGAGGACTGATTTATCATCTGATCCGAGAACTGAGAAAATATCCGTATTCTCCATGGTATATTAAACCATTATTTACATGATTCTATATGAACAACTGCTTTTATAGTTGTTTAGCTTTCTGGAGAATTTCAACGCTCCTAAATACCAGGGGAGAAATTAAACTGAGTGATAATGAATTGTAAAAATCAACAACCATTATCGATCTGTGGAGCCTCTTCTTTCTCACGGGGATTGTTGCAGTGTTTAGGGAAAATAAAAGGCACATAAAAGATAATCTGTCTGCCCAGACCAGACACAAGAAGAAAGTGCTCACCAGTATATTCTGTAAGGTTATCAAAGGTGCGCGGAGTACTTCCAGCATGGACCATCACGCTTCGCCTATGAATGACATGAAATGGTTGACCTTAACATTATTTTAACCAGAAAGCTAGAGTCTGCCTGTTGGTACTTAAGAAAAAAAAGGAATCTGTTCAGCTTTCGCCAAAATAAAACAAAAAACACGGATGTTTCCAAAACTCATGTCAACGTTGACTGATTAATTAATAAACGTATTTATTGAGCGCTTTCCATCTATACAGTGTAGAGCACACTCAATTAAGGATTCTAAGCAATGAATGGTTCTCAAGTGTGTATTATGATTCTTTGTTCTCTGTATCTGTATATGGTTTGCTAACATATAAATACCATGATGGCACTCTGTGTTTTATATAAATTTGAAAATCCCTGCGCACGAGAGACATTTCGTGATCTTCATTTAGTACATATTAATCTATGTGTTCCGTGGATTAAAGACGGTACGGATGTGATTTCATTCAATGCCATTCACTGAAGAACATAAGAGAAATTGAAAAATCGATTTCGCAGCAAAAAAATGGTTAATGCCTTTTTCACTAGGTGGTAGATATACAAAATAAAATATTAAAAAATCACGAAATTTCAGAAATCTGACACACAAATGAACATCTTTTACAAATGTCTAATTTACAGGTCAAGTATCCCGTTGCTCCGAAATCTCGTCCATTAACAATAAAATTTAGCCCGCACTTTGGTTTCCTATCAATGTTGTTAAATGATTCCCAAAATTCCTTTTCCTCTCTTGAACTTCCTTTTCCCACGCTTCAAACCGTTTTATTTTAATGCACAATGGTAAAACAGATATACCGCCCCTGTGGCCAGCACGTGCGTGCGTTTTCCGGTCAGTAAGACGTGTGCCTACTTATTTATTATTTTTCTTGAAATTCTGTTTTAGGTTTCATCAAAACCATTCATGCTTTCACCTTGTAACGGTGTGTGGAATTTTTCTGTAATTAGCGCATCCTCTGTCTTTTACCATTCCTCTCGGTGAATGAACGAAATTGGAGGATTAAACATTTACACCAATTCAAGATGTGCTTGATCGAACATTAACTTCCTTCTCTTAATACACCATTCACTTTTACTTCACTTCAAATTAAGTTCGAATCTGTTTTCAAGGGCTGGGAATAAATAAAATAAAAGGAAAAAAAATATTTTTATTGGAATTTTTGAAGACCTTTACCAAGATTTTCCTGACCTGCTAGATATACATAGAGAGAAAATATGAGCAGGATATTTTTGACATTAATTCATTAAACTAAAGATCGAAGAGCAAGGGCGTATATTCTATGTCTTCCCTTCAAAAAGAGGTTACTGGTTTCCTTTGAATATCAACTGAGTAGTCCTATTTCTGTATTTTTTCCATTTATTATAGGACTTTCATATTTTACATTTTTATTTTAAATTTTTTTTTTTATTTTACATATTTTTATTTCATTTTTCATTATTAGGTTATGTGTCATATAACTTTATGACACACATATACATGTAACTGTAACGTTATGACCAACAGATTACCTTGCCCTTTATAAAAGATTTGATAAATCACCTTGCTTCCGGTGTAATTTTCATATTCAGGAATGAGTTATCTCTAGTTTTACCCCGTACAGTACACTAAAATTTCGATCTTCCGTTAGAAAATTATCATCATCACAAAAATGTTTTATATATTTTAGTTAACAAAATGTTTGTTCCCTTTTAAAAAAAAAAATAGTTTGTGCTAAGCACTGTAAGGATGCTTCTTTATTTTTCAAAGTCTCAAATATTTGGCAAGGAGATGTATCATCAATGAAATGACCTCGACCTTTGACTTTAGATTAAATCATTTATTAATTTTCGGAGGTTCTTTTTTTTATGAATAAGCATGTACAGGCCATAATCATCTTACATGATTTTCCTCATTAATTTGTCATGAAAAACTTATGACAGTGGATTTTGACATTAGGGTCGTATTAGAAGTACATGTATATCATGATCAGAATAGTAAGTATTTCAGTCTCTGGATATTATACATGATATTTGGCAAGCTGATGTCTCATCATCATTATTAAGGTTATTTATGTACGATAATTCATCATGACCTACATAAAACATTGTTCTTGACCTCAAAGCCAATGATATGCTGGGCAAGATTTTTTTCCCGTGAAATGTTTAAACCCATACTAATTGCTTTCAAGGGGAGATAACATCTTTTCTCTGTTCTCCTCCACCAGTGAAAAAGTCACTATAATTGTCTATTTGTCTTTCTGTCACAAAATCGTGGACATCGTAATTCTTGATTGGAACATTCAAATTTTCGGAAAGGTCAGGGCCGCTGCCAGGTGATTATGTACTGCGTATTTAAATTAATTTCCTGTCATGGATATGAATACCTGTATTTAGAGTTTGGTAGAAATTTAAGTTTTTTCTGTACAAAAACCTAAAGATGTATCTAGAATCTAGGTCAAAAGTATTTTAAAGGTCTCATACAATGAAATTTTTTAACTCATGTCCGGGTCATAATTCTGGAATCCGTTGACTGGAATACATTCAAATTTTCGTATGTTATTGATAAAATGGCTTCAATGTATGATTTTTACTCAGTGTCATATCTTAAAGGTCAAGGTCAATGGTAAAAAATACATTGAAATAATGTGCTGTTAAATAAAATCATATACGCGTACTTTTTTCATTAAACACGTTTCAAAAAAGTCTTGTCGGTATTTATATAAAAAAAACATAAGCAAGTAAACAAAACTTACTTTTGTAAATGAGAAATGGTAAATGCTTATATTTGATTGGATATATAAAGGACTGTACATATTTTTTTTCAAGAAATCTTATGCAGAGCATGTAGTTCAGGTATGCACTGAGTTGACCAAGTTTCGTTCACTACACTGAGATATGCGGAGCATATTTTTGTCACATTCCAAATTATTTATTTTCTTGTAGCTTGATTTACATCTTATTCTTGAAATTTTGACACAGTAATACTGATTTTTTAATTAGTTAGATAATCACAGTGTTCCTTGTCCCCGAAACGCCGTTTTCCACAATACATGGCATCTTTAAAATTTGATTTGTTATAAAAATACAATGTATTAATTGATGCCATGAGTGGGGAGTGGTGCAGCCTGCTATCATCGGATCTGGTACAAATTCAGGGGTTTATCGTCGATATTTGACAACTCAAGTAAAAACATGACAGTTAACGCATGGCAATGAGTTTTCATTCATTAACGTGCTTGCTGGAGTAAGTGTTTTAGTGTGAGCATATATTCATTGCAATTTTGGAACCATTTCGTTGTTTAAATGAATCAAGGATGTGAAGTCATCGCAGCCCACGACTCTGTGATCTATTGTCGAATCTCGTGTTCTTTCTTTTAAATTAAAATCGACCAAAAATAGGTCTTACAGCATGTGGTGATGAAAATGCACAAAGAAATTCGATAGCATCCGCAGCATGATTGGGAAACCTTAATATTTATAGACATGACGAAACCATGTGAAACGTATGCTTTAGGAAAAATTGGCAATCATTCGTACTGGGAAAGAGGCAATACTGTAGCAATATTGCTGAAAGAGTGAAAGGTGAGATAGATTTCATTAAATATTTACATATCATTAGGCTATATCCCAAATGGCTTTGTTCCTCGGAGTTCTCGCTAAATAACACTATAAGTTCTTGCTAAGGATAAAAGATTCTTAAGATTGTAATTTTTATTAAGCTGATAATTGCATGATATTTGGAGTTCATTTTTAATACCATCTATAAGTCTTACGAATCAAAATGGTTTTTTTTTTTTGGAATGATGTTTTTAGGCTTTCAAGTATTGAATTTTAATCACTATCGGATCGAGTTCGACTCTTGATTCTCTCTGTTTTGGTTTGCTATAATTCCTGAATAAGAATTGACAATCGACAATATTTTTTTTGTTCGTGTGAGATGCGGTCTTTATGGCTGCAGACGCTTATTAAAGATGTTCCTGTGCCTGTCAAGTATTTAGACGGCGAAATATACAGCGAATGGAGAAGACTCAAAGGAGGGGGTGTCTGTAATCAGCTGATTGCTGTAATGCGCGTGCCTGTCTGTACGTTTGTCTTTTCTCAGCGCCGGCAGTTTGGGACTTACACTTTATTTGATCCTCAATAGTTCATTTTTACATATCTAATGGACCGAGGTGGAGATGCGTTATCACAGAGATAACTAAGTGAGAAAATAAATTTTCCTGGATTTAAAAATAAAATGGTATTACACAGAGGATGATGAATGATTGCACAATATTAGAGTGAGATAAATTTACGTATTATATAATATTTTGGAATATCTCGTTGTTCTGGAACCACTTGTTATCTTGTCCTACCAATACTCTATGCGGTGTATCGGTTCTAAATCAGTGAATGAAAAAAACTCATATGGAATGTAGAGAAAATTAGGATGCGCGGTACGTGAAAGATCAAAGATTTTCAGTTTCATTTTGTTTATGGAAGGAGGCCTCTATGGATTTAATCACATAGTCTATTGCATCACGTTCAAATCAATGTGTTCTCTGAATCATAATGCGGGATTTAACAAAATGTTATCAAAATAGACAAATAGTCTTATCAGTTCAACGTCAACTCGACTTTCAACACAAGATATAAAACTCATCTTCTTTAAATTTTCTCATTAAGGTATTTTACCTACATATTTTACCTGCTAGCTGAGAAGAGGGAAACCGGGTGTCTCTTCATCCGAAAATTAACATCTATAGGAGAACTCAAACAAGAGGGAGTCGAGAACCGAAAGAGAGAGAGACAAGACACGACAATTTTACGGTGTAATGTCCCCCAATACTAGGGGGATAAAAAACAGTTACAGAGGTCTCACATTTGGGATACAGGGATCAGAGACATGTTTTATGTAAAGGAATCCGACCAAATTTTCCAGTTGGAACAGGCATGGGACCATTCGGTTACGGATACTTTATACGAAGACTCATCGCAACTCTAGGCCTACTCCTTATAACATGCGGTAGGTATATCCATATTTAAAATATACTAGGGAATTTAGATAAATTTTTTTTATATATTTGATAGAATTCTTATATTTAAATTTTATGTTTCTTTTAAACTTTACTTTTTAAATACGATATACTGTCATTTCAATCTCCAACAATTTTATTAAATTTTAAATAAATCTATTTTTCTTATTGTTAATTTTTTTTTAAATTTATTTTTCTTAAAACATCGTTTCACATTTATCTAACATAAACGGTTGCTGTCACATCCTAGTTTTACACTGTGTCGCACCGGAAATGACATATGTCACATTGCTTTGCAAAGGAAGTTGATGGTCTTCCTAACTTTTGGTAAATCTAAATGATTAATATATTTCATAATTGAATGTGCATGGTTTCGTGGATTTTTACTTAGGAGTGGATTTCTGAAAATTTGCAGACATATTCTCTCTGCAATGGAAACGAAAATTTAATATAATTTTATGTAATTCAGACCTAGTTGTCGTAAGAGCTTTATCCCTATAATCAGTTATAATCACCTCGATTTTAATTTTATCAGCTCCAATCATATTTTTTATTTTCAACACGACTACGTACATCAGGCTATAGAGAGTGCGTATAAGTCACTTCGATCTTGTTTAATTTTCTTTTAAGTGATGAAAATGGCTTTGGAAGCGTTTCAAGCTACAGACGTATTGAATTTTTTCAAGGGTTGGACCGAAAAGAAAAAAAAATGTGAAAAACAGGGGAGTCTAAATTGAGAAAAGTTGACACCCTGCTAATCCATGCAATTGGCTAATTCCCAACAAGCCGTCTGGGTCACAAAGAATCTTCTTGTGTAATCTTGCCTCAGAATTCTGATTGCCTTGCTTATGTAAATACTGTGTGGTATTCTCACAGCTCAGGTATTTTTTCATCAAATGTTTAAGGAAGTTCAGCACCTATAGGATATCATATAATTATGTGGACCTTATGGTCTGTGCTGTATCACTTAATATTTAGTACTACTCAGGGATGGCAATCCGATAATTTTGTAACTGGTTAATTATAATTTTTTCCAAGTAACCAGTTAACCAAACAGTTAAGTCTTGTTTTTAATTTTGTCATGAATTATTCAAGATATATTTTGATAAATCAGATTGTGAAACAAATACATTCATGGTAACAAGGATAATCAGAATTGATATACTGCAGTATATTCTTTGATCTCAATATTTGTTTTATCTTTTCCCTGATTAAAAATATGTGCAGAAAATTCAAAATTCGTTATGCACAAAAGAACAGTCAAATAATGATTCTCTATTTTTATATATATTTGAAATATACTAGGTATTTTCATTTATTCATGAATTTTGCATTCTATATCTGCCTGAGTGTTTTTAAGGATTTTTGCACGAGTTTTTTTCAAGTTCATAAGTACCGGTAATATAGAAATAAAAAAAGCCACAATAACATACTAATTTGTCATCTCTTTTATTCTTTTATCTTGAGGTATTTCATTATAATATTACAAACATTCCCTAAGTAAACTGATGAAGAATTCATGCGATTTTCATTTTATGACATCTATGTGGGTTAAAGGAATATTCATATCTTAAGTTTGTAGACCTTATCTATAAGAAACATGTATTACACAGAAATGATTTTAGAATTCTTGCCACCCCTTATTAAATAATCAAATCAACCTCGGAAAGCCAATTTAGACAATACTGGAACATGATTCAACTGTGGTCTGTGTGTACCCATGTTAAAGTATCTGGACACATCAAATGCACTCTTCATCACTTCTTATCAGTACTTGTGTGGTAACCCCTGATAAATTGGCCCAGCCTTTGTGTAAGAGTGGGTTAGTGTTTATTGAGTGGCACTAAAAGTGACCAAGTTTATGTTGACCACCCTTTGTTATCTGTTATCTGTGTTTTTATTTGTCATGTTTATGTAATTTTTGTTGACAAGATGAGTGCAAATGGCAATAACCAAAGCATATTGGGGGACAAATTAATTTATCGTTATTAAATTTTTTTTATTTGATGCCTAAGATATCAAAATAAATGCAAGAATTAAGTAAAAGCATCTGATCATAATGTGAATGTATTGTATTTGCATTTGGAGTCTGTTAGATAACCTAAATTAGGATTTCATTCTTCCAGTCTAATTTTCCTGTCTGAGTTTTTCGGTTATCTGGATGGACTTGCCAAGGATGCATGAATGTTTTGTTTTTAATACATATTTTTTGTTGAACTTTTGCTTGGCACTGCATTAAAAAGACATTGAAGAACTAAACCCAGTTTCATACAAATGCTATACATAAACAATTGATATGTAGTTCATGAGGGAAATATTATCTCTCTGATATATTAAACTTGTTTTAAGCCAGATTTTGCAAACAAATAGTTGTAGTTTAGCTTTATCAAATAAATGGATATAATATTGGCAAATGGCAATGGTATAAAATATGAATATTATTCTGAAATACTTTGTTTTAATAGTATATATATATTATGATAAAAGATGAAACATTTTGTGAGTCTGAATCAGATTTCAAGGGAATAAAACAAGGGGAGGTCCTTTAGAAAACTTTATTTTTGTACATTGAAACTTTGATAATTAATTATGTTTCAAGACAGGATATTAATGATTTCTGCATGAAGTACCCAGGTCTTATCTTTGCAATGACTCTTTTTGAAGGTTACCTCTTTGTTAAAATGGCTTCATACATTGCACCTATTTGTTTTCATGTTGGATTAAAAGACAAATGGTCTTAAGCACAGCTATAGAAAAGTTTGCCTGACAAAGACAGATGATCTTAGCTTGCTTAGTTTGTCTTGAAGGTATATTTACTCCAGAATGAGATTAGAAGATATAAACTCATTTGAGATGGGCAGAGAAAAATTATGAAAAGATTACTGAAATTTTATGAAGTAATGTGAGAGAAATTTTGCACCAAATATTGTTACAAAAATATTATTCATGACTTGATAATCATACGCTAGGGGGAATATAGATTGTTGCAAAGTCTTAATGTAAAATTTAATTAAATGAATGTCTAGATGAGGGAAAATACCATGTCTGCAGAAAGAGTGATATTAAAGCTAGGAACTGCTGATTTCACTGCACTTTGTCAGAAGGAAGTGAAATTTATAACAGGTTGTTAGTTATCTGGATCAGTCTGGAAGTTTGCAGGAAGTTAATTTATTGCAATGTGATTCATTAAGAAAATTAACTACAGCAGCCCTCCCCTCTCGCCAAATGCTGACTCAGATTCCAAAACGCAGGTATTTGCTACCGTGTGTATATATAATATGTGTGTAAATGTTTCTTTGGCTCTCAACAACCGACCTCTCACTTCAAAAGAAAATGAGAAGATTCCTGTTTGTTCTGAAGACTTTGGAACATTACATCATACCACAGTGCGCTTCTGTATTTAGCTGATTTAGAGAATTTTTTTTATAACAAAAAGCCATGTATTTAGTCTGAAAGTTCAGCTTTGTTGAGCGAAAGTTAATGCCAGGTTTGTTGGTCTTTAACGGGGTGGTATTTCACATGGCGATTATATCAACTCTTATTGGCAACCTGTTAGTCTGCTATGTGTTTCCTCTTACATCACAGGAAAGATAATGCTCTCTGATTTATTCTTGCACATTTAAACTTCTGAAGCACTTGCTCTACAGTGCATCAACATGATCATTTCGAAATTGCTTCTTTGAGATGTAGGGTAAATTCACAGTCTTTTCCTCTTGTATTAGCTTATTCCTTATAGACAATTGTGAAACATTGAATCATTACTGCCTTCCTGTGCCAAACTTTTTTTAACCAGCTGTGAGTAATTTCCAATTCATTAATTAAGGGGGGTGGAAGAAATTTAGTTTATATGTACACGTAATTACATAAGTTAATTATTTTACAATGAAGGCATGACTAAGGCATGTCTTTTCAGTGATGCAGTACACATTATCCATGATCCAAATCCTGCACATAAATTCATTGACAGACAGTGTCTGACTACAAAATTTTAGGATGTGTATTATTCATTCTTGAAATGTCAAGAATATATTGGGGAGAGAGAATAATGCATGTTGATGCTTGCAGTCTGCATATGCAACTTCCATAAAACTTATTCATGAGGTTGATCAATTCTTACTTACTGAGAATTTGATGCTTCTTATTTCATCTTTAGTGTTTCAGAGAAAGTACAGTGCATATTAATTGATTATTGCTTTGTGCTTAAAAGATATCCTTTTATGGGGCTGTTGATAGAGATGGAAAAAAATTTATACTTTTGTATAAAATGGTTATGAAATTTTCAAAGCAGGAAGAAAGGTTTATTAAGTGTTCCAAATAACTGAATACCATATAGCAGGAATTTTTAGTGGGTTGCTTACTTTGGCTTATTTTAGTAGTTTTTGTAATAGCCTGCTAAAACTTAATTTTATCGTTAAAATTTGCACCCTTGCGTATACATGTAAGCTAGTACTGAACACAAGAAAAATAACTTTGATCAATCTGTTATTAAATGTTATACCTCTTTAATTGGTATTTAAACATGTATCTACATATCTAAGGCACCTGAAGCACTCTTCTGACTTGGAACCCCATGTCCACCAAAATAAGTTGCACCAAAATTATTGGCATACCTCTAAGCAAGCAAAAAGCTGAATTTTACACCCACTAAAGAACCCACTATACGGTGTTAAGAAACTGCATGGATTTTTAATGAAAAAAAAAAAACATGCATGCAAGTCTTCATAAATAAAGACAACCATGGTACATTTTTGTGTACCTGATTAAGATGAGAAGTTTATGATATAAAGTTTGCTTTTCCCCTGTGAAGGTAATTGAGAGAAGAAATTTAGCATAATCTCTCTGATTTTGCCTCCTCTCCCTACCTTAATTAACAAAGTAAGGTCAAGGTGAAAAGGAAATATAATGGATTTGAGTAGTTTACCATTAACATTGTCAAAGTTCATCAATAACTGAAGCATCTTCATTTGCTCCTCATCAACATAGGCTTGGC